ATCACATAATCCCTAGCCTACGAGGATGATAGCATAATCGACTCATGAAAGCTCCTACCTTTACCCTAGAATAAATTCAATAAGTAAAGACAAGACAAGACTCACGAGATCTTGGACCTTCAACTAAGTCTCCAATCGGACCTTAAATGAAGTCTCCAAGTCCCTAGTGCATCCACGAGAATAAATAAGCCGGAAAGTTGTAATCTTAATGGAGAAATATTACAATAAAAATTAGGGTCTTGGAGCCCTTTAGAGAGAGAAAGAAAACTAGAGAGAAGGAGGAGAGAAAAACTAAAAGGAAAATTTTAGCAAATGAGTAATTGTTCCAAAAATACAAAGCACGATGTCTATTTATAGCTACACCACAAACACACACTAAAAATATGCACAATTACTAAAACACTCTCAAGCTCGCCAATATTTCCGCTGGTCGCGGGCGTCGGTTGGCACGGGGCGGCACGAGGTCGGCGCGAGGAAAAGAGACACTCTCGAGCTCGCGGAGCTCTTCGCGGGCGTGGACGTGCGGAAGGAAAGTACTCTCGAGCTCGAGGGGTCATTCGCGTACGCAGACGTGCGGTGGTAGCACTCTCGAGCTCGTGGACGGTGTCGCGTGCTCGCGAGTGGCGCTGGGCAGCGGGAAGACACACTCTCGAGCTCGTGGATCTGTCTGACGGCGAGGACAGTGCACTCTCGAGGTCGCCAACTCCTCCGCGTGGTCGCGAGCTTCCAAGTCTGCGGGCATCGTGCGTCTGCGAGGCGCGGGAGACGGGGCGAGGTCGCGAGTGCAGATGGCTTGGATCGACACGGCTCAAAATGCTCGGATTAAAAATGGCTCGTACAAAATGGTTCGAAACTCCTCGATAACGACTCGGAATTCATTAAAAATGCTCGTCTCTCGGAACTCGGTTTGACTCTTCTCTTCATCCTCGAAATAATTCTGAAAATACGCCCAAGAGCACAGAAAAGTACGCCAAAATATAAAATAAAAAGAAAAGCAAAGAAAACACACAAGATACGATAAAATGGACCAGTCGACACGAAAACAATCCTGAAAAGACCAAACTAAAGCACATAAAACACATGAAAATAAGCACAAAAACACAATAAACAATGATGACATGACATTCATTTTTTTCCGCATTGGAGATGTTTTTAGCTATTTTGAAGTTCACACGTTGTGGCTAGAGAAGTAATTAATATAGTTGGATATAGTGTTGGTTAGACTAGGAGAGAGTCCGAGTCTTGTAAGTCCAAGTTGTACATAGTGCGCGCAAATCAATTTATTAATGAAAGAGCTCTAAGGGGTAGTGGAGCGCTTCTCGAAGACAATTTTTACTTACATATTGCTTCCATTTTTTACTTTCGTGTTTAAACACACATTTGCGTACTCTATACTCTCCCAATTTTTTAATTAATAAATCTATTAATCCCTAAACACATGGGCGGACCTAGGCAGGGGCCCGTAAATTTTAAAAAAATTAGTATATATATAATTATATTGTAAAATAATACATAGAGATTTTCTTATATTTTAAGTTGTTTGCATTTTATATTTGTAATATGTTGTAGGTAATATATATAAATGAGTTACATCGATTTTTCACAAAAGTCCGTATTGATTTTGATACATATTGAATTTTAGGTGTTCTTAAAATTATAATTATAAGTTTAAAATTAGCTACTAAATTGTGTTTGTCATTGATTTTTTTAATAATAAAATATTTATCATTATTATAAATAAGTCCACGAATGCTAACGTTGTAAGAATATCCAATGCAAGAGAAAAAAAAATATTGGTATTTGAAAATTATATATTTAACGAGATTTGAATTTATGTATTTATGAGTGATATAATATATAAAAACATGGAGGGAATAAATATCATTTTTTTTTTGTACTTTGTAAAGGTTAGGTTTGTGCCCCATCAGGCTTACGAGTCTGCGTCCGCCCCTGCCTAAGCACTCAAAGGGTTTATGAGACAAAAGCAGTTCTTCAGCGATGTAAGAACACAATGCTGAATCACTGTAAACAAAGAAAACTAAAATCTCACGAACACTCAATGAAAGTTAAGAATGATGAACGTTAATCGCAGCAACATCTCAATGAGTGTTCGATCACATATATATTCAAAATTACTCAAAGGTAAGGAGCCTTGACATTCTCATGCATTGTCATTTTCATGCGAGGTCGATTTTCTTTCTAATTATCTTCCTCAAGACTTAGACACGAGCAGTTCCTTATTTCTTCCTTTTGGCATGTAATATTTCCTTTAGAGTATGTTTCCTTTAGTAGAATTTGTGTATATGATTTGGAGATTTAAAGAATTCCGTTTCCAAAATCGTGTAGGAACAAAACTTTTCTAAAATGGTCAATCGTTCAAATCTAAGATGATTTGTGAATATTTCCAAATACTCCTTAGATCTTTTCATTATGTTTGCCCTAGTTGTACTTTTGTCATTTATTTGTTCCAAATTTAGGTATGATACACTATTTTTTTGTGGCGATTTTCGTCCAATTCGCGACTCTGGCCCTCATTTTCGTCGTAAATGTTGATTTGGCACCCATTCAGATCCATTTACGAATTTCTAGCGTGATTTATCACCATAACCTAAACTCAAAACAAGTAAAGGACAAGTAGGACAGATATTGTGGATGAATGGTGAAATTTTTCTTTCTTAATTGATCGGTGTACTACCCTTCCCTTGAAGCCTCTCCTTTGGGTTGCTATTAGCTCTCATTTTGTGGTAGCTGACCATATAACTCGGGACCGGAAATGGAAAAAAGGTCATGAAGCTATTGTCGGCTTTCAGTGAGGATTTGTTATCAAGCGAAGAAGAGTAAATTGTTTTGGTTTTGAGTATACGTTTGTAAAGTCCAAGGCGTTCGCTAGCTAATTTTTGGGCTTATTATAAAGCGTTGTGATGTGTTCAGGGTTCGACTCCGAAGTGTACGGGGGAACGTACAATTGCAATGTTATGTAGCAACATAATATGTAGATCGAAAGCGACTAAAACAAAATTGTCTTTAGAAATCCTTCTGCTTTCCTCGGAACTCTTTCACTAAAAAGGTTTTGTACACGTAGTGTAGGACAAATTTACTCGGCTAGAACTCTCTTCTAATTTAATTGTTCCTACACTCCACTTTTCTAGCTACTTCAAAACCTGTACACGAACACTTATCTAAAATGTCATACGGAAAAGAATAGAGGGAAGATGTGTCCGTAAGAATGCGAACTAACAACTTGACAAAAACTATAAAATAAAATCAAATTAAGCACTCAAAAATTCTCAGAATAACTTTATACAGTTCAAGCTCTCTAATGATGCATCCATTAGAATGGTCCATGATTCTGAATTAATACAAGTCTTCTTTTAGTAACCGATTTTCAGAATCTTCAATGGTAGAATGTTTCCTTCATTCATTGTCAGATCTACAAGATCTCCTCAATTGCTCATAACTTGAAAGGTCCGAATTCATGTAGAAACACGACTTTCCATATCTTGTGTCAGCTGCTTCATAACACCTTGATATCATCTTTCCATGTATGCTCAACCTGCGTCTCAGTCCCAATGTTGCATCCCAGATCTCCATGCTATGTGTTCCTAAAATAAATAAGGAAATAAATCAAAATTATATCTAACCTAATAAGAGAACTTAATAAATAGTTAATATTTCCTTTATTTTGTCTTGCTCCCTTTACAAGTGACATACAAGAAATATAATTAAAATAAACAAGATAGTCGAATTATGCCATTTCAAAACTATTGCCGGAAATAATGATTAATTGAGGCGAAAAGTTTATTAAAAAAAGTAACAAACAATTAAAGAAGTATGATTATAAGGAAGTAGTAATACGTGATTATATTAAGAGGTTGAGAGTTGAGTGTACGGAATGAAAATGATAGTTGAAGTTGGCCTAGTTATCCAAAGTTATATACGGAATTCTCATCCCTTCCTTGTTGAGGTATTATTATCTCCATGAAAGTTGTATTTTAACTATTTTCCCTATTAATTACTGAGAGTGTATGCAAATTGTAGAAGTTGAAAAAGATACGCAGCCTTGCATTTGTAGTTTTGAATCATTAAATGAAATTTTTTGCAATAGACAAAATCTTGACGCTACCTCTATAACTAACAATCAAGGACAGAGTGTCTTGCAATTATCATTTGTTAATACAGATAATGTAAATTGGGCAAAATTATAAAAATGATACACTAAGTTGTGCGTTCTTAACAAAAGAAACAATTTGTTGTCCCTCACGGAAAAGATACACTTAGTTGGCTTTTTGCACGAAAAATATACAAATTTACAAAACGATACACTAAGTGTATCATTTATGCCTAACTTTGGATTGTTTATGCCATTTATGCAAACTTTGGATTGTTTATGCCTGACTTAGTATATCGATTTTGTAAATTTGTATCTTTTTCATGCAAAAAGCCAACTAAATGTATCTTTTCCGTGAGGGACAACAAATTGTCTTTTTTGTTGACAACGCCCAACTTAGTATATCATTTTTGTATTTTTGTCATATAAATTGTGTTGATTATAAAAATTTGGTAGATGTCCGTGGGTTACCCTTACTACATGTTTCACACAGTGTGCGGGTGGGTGTGTGAATTTTGTGGTCAATTGTTGCATTTGGTAGACCTCATGTCCTTTAATTTGGTGGATAAAATAATGTTACATCTAAAAGGTTAAGAGACTAGTTTCACATTTTTGGGAGGTAGTAGTTTTAAACATTATGTTAATGTGTGATGTGAAATATAAGCTAGCCAATTCAAGGGAACTAGTTCTGCCACATCCAGTTCATGTCTTTATATTTTTTTGTCCAATGCCTCACAAAGAACAAGAATGTAAATAGCCCAGACAAGCCCTAATAAGCCAATCACACACAATCCAAAACCTAATTCCAATTAACAAATTGGGGGCAAAAGAAAATTGCACATAAAAAAAGTAACAAAAACATAGATAATAAATAAAACTGCATGCAAACTTATTATTCCTCCTCAACCAAAACCATTCTACACAAGGGACTTGGCCCAAGCTTTTTCCTCCTCATTGCACTTCTTCTCCTAATAATCTCCATCTCATTCTTTCTCCTTACTTGCATCATGGCTTCCTCCTCAACAACAAATCTTCTCATCAATACATCATCTGTTAACGATTTTCCCCTAAATATTCTTCTCCCCTCCACACTCATTCTTGCACTCGAGGTGCTTCTAATTTCTTGATTTGCATGAAGGGGAGCCTTTGATCTCGGGTAGCTATAGCTTCTCCTCGGAGGCACGTGATTGACTTGAAAAACCTCGGTGTAAGAAGAGATTGGTGCGCATAAGCACACACGGGTGAACGATGTTGCAACCCTCAATGACGTGCATTTTCGTAGCTTATTATTATTATTTATTGGGGGGTTTGTGGCGGGAATATTTATGTTTTCGTTATTATCGGTCTTTGTTGAGAATGTTTTCGAAATGTTGTCGTTTTTGGAGGGAATTCCGGGAGATCTCGGGAGGGCTTTCCACAATGTTGCCATCTCTAGTGCTCTTTGGTACCAAGGCTTCCTACACATGTAACAACAACATGGAGGGAGCATACATGCAAAGTGTGTGCTTTCATTAATCACTCAACTATTGAAAGATGTATTAGTTCAATTTAGAAAGAGAAGTTTTATTTTACTCTATATTTTATTTTTCGGGATGGAGTTATTAATTATTGCACTTCTATTAATTTATGGCAGCAACACAAACAGGATGCATGGAAGGGTACTACTCAATTTTTTTTTTTTTNATTACTTTTCATTAAATTCGGTTAACTTTGCGAGTGAAAGAGATTCAATCAAAGGAAAGCTAGGATTTCACTTGATATTAAATATGAACTGGGCCTCGTAATTGGACTGACCTAGGGCCTGCTTTTTCTAGACAAGCCCATTCGCCTTATCACAATTATGAAATTATGAAATGCATTCTAAAATTCCCTATATAGATAGTATGATAATGAGACAGACAATACACTTGGAGTAAATCATGATCGAAAATAAAATATCTTCTCCCCATATTACATTGTCACCAAAAGTCAAAACAGTGTCTTTCAGTTGAAATAACAAGTGTTGACTTTATTTTCTTCAGTTCACCCACTAAATAGGGGTAACATATAAAATTGTAAGGATAAGTTAAAAACTAAATTGAATAGGATTAGTTATTCTGAGCAAATCTAACCATGAACATTATATTTTAAACATATATTCACGTTTTCATACAGAAATATGATACTTCTAAAAACAACATAAACAATTTATGATATTTTACTCTGGGAGGAGCCAAAAGAAGAAATTGAACACAATCTCATGGCCTGTAATTAAAAGGATCAGGATTTCAACTAGTTCCATCTCACACTCGGGCAACTTAATTAAGGGAAGTAATTAAAACAAATGAACTTGCATTGTTATATTTCATTACTTCAAATGTAAAATTGCCATAGTAAAATCCCAATTATCAAAGTGTGTGTGTGTGTGTGTGTGTGTGTGTGTGTGAGAGAGAGAGAGAGAGAGAGAGAGAGAGAGAGAGA